TATTTTATATTAAAAATAAAATATTTTTTTAATAATTTTATATTATAATGAGTCAATTTGGAGTCGAACACGAATAGAAAAATATTATTCTAGCCAAACACGAACTCACTATTCACGAGCCATTTCGAACACGAGCCGATTTCGAGCACGAGCCAATATCGAACGAGCCAAACATGAGCCGACCCTGAGCCCCCTCAGGCTCGGCTGAACCCTATGCACAGGTCCTAATGTACAAGAAGAATTGTTGGATTAGGAAAGATTCATAGGACTTCCCGAACTATTCCTTCTACAACTTGTATGTCCATCAGTCGCTTGGAGATATTAGAGAAGTGATAGTGAGGTTCATGATAATATGTAGTGGATTTTTCATAGTAGCTTTTATATGTGCTTGTTGCTTTGATGTGTGTTTGAAAGTTGTTGATTTTATTGTGTGCTTGTAGGCTTTCTAGTATTTAGAGTGTTTGAATGCTTAATAGTCTGTGAGTGAATTTAGAATTTTTGTTTAAAGGTTGTGAGTAACGTATATTTGTGTATGTACCGGGATTGGATTTATATTTAAATATAAGTGATTGTTGGTGTTTTTGAAAATGTGATGTTGGAAGAGGTTTAAACATGTTGAATTTGGCTTGCTAGGGTCGTAGTGTCTTGGTGTGCAGTGCTCGCTGTTCAAATTTAACGAAAAAAATGAAAATCAAACTCTGGGCACTGGCGCCTAGGCACCAGAAACCCAAGAACCTGAGAGTCACCTCTTCTTCCTTGTTTTCGCAAAAAAACAATGTGAGGGCTTTCTAGTGCTTCTCAAATCTTGATTTTTAGGGGGATTTCTTGGCTTTAAAACTTCGGATTTGATCTCCTCATGGTAAGAGCTTCACATTAAAGAAGAAAATTTTTATATTTTCACCATGGATTCTTCTCACATTGCTCATGTGCCAAAATTTTGGACTCTTTTGGAAGAAATGAGTGATGAATCCATGGTAGAAAGCTTCTTACCTTAGAAAAATGTTATTGGGAAAGGTTGTTAGGAGTTTAAGAATATTGTTTGGAATTTATGTTGAATTTTTTGGAATTTTTTATATAATATGGCTCCTAAAACTAAGAGAGGAAAATGGAGACTTGAGTTTGATTCTGATAAGTTCGTCAATATTATGGCTCAGTACATATTCAATAATCTTCTTACTTAGAGAAAGTTGATTCAGGAGAGGCCTTTCTTCAATCCTGAGGGAGTGGTTGAAAGCTTAATTATAACCTGACATTGGGAAAGTTTCTGTTACTTTACCGTGGCAGCAATAATTTCTATTATCCTGGAATTTTACTACAAGTTCCCTGAAGACTCTAATGATCAAGTTTATGTTCGAGGAAGAAGAGTGGAAGCTACTTCTGAGTGCATCAATGCTCTGTACAAGTTGCCTAATGTTCTAAACTATGAATATTCTTCATTTGAGCCTACTGAATCGCAATTGGATGAGGTAATAACATTCCTGACTGACGGAAGAGGAGTTTAGAAAATTAAGAACAAACATAAGGTAAACTTTTTAGTGAGGAGAAAGTCTTGGAGGAGAAAGTCTTAGAGGAGAAGAAAGTCTTGGAGGCTTGCTTGGACTTAGAGGAGAAGAAGAGAAGTGAGAGATATCTTCTTCGCTACAGTTCTAGGTAAGTTTGGAGTGAAATTGTAAGGAGAGTAAGTAATTCAAAAGAACTAGAAGGATTTCTTAAAAAGGAGTTCAAAGTTAAATTGTGTACTTTTTTTATTTTTACTTAGTCTTGTCTTGTAAGCTTTTGTTTATATATAAATTCAAGTGTTGTTATTTCTTCCCCTTGAGATCTAGGTAGTTTCCTTTGTCTTTCTCCTTAAAAAATGAGGAGTAATTATGTGTTGGAATGTAGTTTAGTAAAAGTGCTTTTAAAATTTCATAAATTGTGATGATTCAAACTTTATACTTAATTTACTTATCGATCTGGTCAATTGATTTTTTAAAATCTTTTGTAACCCGAAATGGGCTATGTTCCAACATAGTAAGAATCACATTTAGCCTCATGGATGAAAATGTAGTCCTTGAGGTTAAGTGCAAATAAATAGGGAAATAAATTTTGATGAATTTTGATAAATTTTGATAAGCACAGAATTGGAGATTCTACGGTGACAGACTAAAACCCCAAATTTGTTCCAAATGTTTGGAAACTAAAGCGAGATGTTAGCCCTCCGGTGAGGGGAAGTGAGGACTCTAGAGTGAAAGCTAATATCTTCCTAGCCTAATCACTAGTTTAGGGACCAAACTCTAGAGTAACCACTGTTCTTTGTGCACTCGAGAGAGGGCAAAGAATCGAATTGCTCCCATTTGGCACAATACCTTAATTGTATTAAAAGTTATTTTCTTACACTAATTATAAACTCATTGCAAAGGGAAGGATATTTTATACAAATTTGAACTATTTATACACTGCTAATTTAGAGTTGTGCCAACTTTACATTTTTTAAACCTTTTTAGATTGTCCTGCATTTACATTTTGCATTTGCTTCAATTATTTCTGATTGTAAGGCATCTTAAAGGTGGAAACTAGGGAATCTTTTGGGATTTATAAAGTTATTGTTTATCCAGGATATGCAAACCTTAGCGAGGTTTTGTTTAATTTTAAGTTACCGAGTTTTCTAAAAATGTTTAATTTTAAGTTACCGAGTTTCCTAAAATAGTTTTCATGTCATGGATGTTGTGAAGCCAATTTTGACATCTGGAATTAGTTGTCCAACAAATTTTTTGTGAAGTGAATTGTAGCTTTTTTGTCTAATGATAATCAATTTAATAAGTTAAAACTTGATGAGTTAGAAATTAGAATAGAAAACTCAATAATTTTGTTTCCACGTAATGGTCAATACCTCGTGTTTGCCGGTAGGGAGGCTGATTTCTTACTTTCATTTATAACATTTGATTCTTGAAGGATTTTCGTTCTTATACCACACCACAACAAATTCTCTGGTGGCTCTTTGGAAAACTTCAACTTATCTCGACCAAACCTCTCACCACGAGGACACCTCCTCGTTCTGGTTTTCTCGTTACCGTGTCGGATTTCTCCTCCAGCCGGATTATCCCAATTGAACCTCTCACCATGCAAACGTATCCCTACGATGATTCTTTTTCTGTCAAGCCGGATAATTTTTTCGATCAGATTGCTTCACCAGTTGGCTTCTCTCAAATGATTGATCTGTCATTTGATTTTGGGCATTAAAATATACTAGCAATACTTGATGCAATATTGAAATCTAATTCATTTATAAAATCCACCATCTCTCTATTTTGATTCTTTAACATTTAAACCAAATGTTAAAAATTATATAAAATTTACTATCATATTTATATTTTTGGCCTTTGCTCACTTAAATGAACAAATTTAAGTGCTTTAAAACATAATTTTTGCTTTATAAAAACACATAATTTAAATTAAATAGATATAATTTTTTTCAAGATACCCCTACATGATCGGATGATGCATATAATTATAAAGTCAGTTATATCATCCATAAAAATTATATTTCATTTTATTGCGCATGAATTAAAACATCAGAATCAATATATTCTTCTCCAAAAATGAAAAGTGAACTAGTGCAGCCATGGCGCCACAGCCGCAAAACTTATCGTCATTAAACCTCCTGCTCCTTGTCTTCTCTTGCCTGGCTGGATAACTTATTTTCTAGGTTGGAATCCTACCCTAAATCCACTCTTCAAGACGGACCCTTAATGTCTACCTAGAACTTAAGAACATTGTAAAGGGTTATTTATGTATGTGTCGCCCAACCTTTTGCCTCTACATGTCTAAATTTTGCTATTTTACCCATCGTGGCCGCTTCCAACTGGCCACCGCCAACCTTCTCTTTGAATTCCAAAGGCACAGGAAGATTTACATACATGTCACTTAATTCTTATTTTATACATGAATACATTGAACAACGACGCCAATGAGATCGGTTGGAGACACAAAAAATAAGCAACAACAATGCTAAGAACATTCGATCGGTTGAAGGCATATAAAATACCGACAATGATGCCAAGATCATCCGACCTAAGCTCGACTGACAAGCTCAAATTCTTCTCATTGTTTGAATAACACTCTTGTAGGCCTCGCATGGTCGGCCACCTCTCCGGCCAACTTCCTTTGTTCGGCCACCCCGCAGAACGACGACTCTTCCAAATGGTTGCAAACCGAAGCCCAGAACCAACGACTGATGAGGCCCCCCCAAATAATACGCTTCGATGACAAAAAGAACAAAATAACATGTACTACCCTCCTTAAAGCGAATGTATATTTTTATTTTTTTATCTTCTATAAATAAGAAGATTTTAACATGAGAGAAGACTAGGCCCTAGGCCCTTACACCCTTTATAATCTCTCTCTCCCACTCATGTAGAGAGTTTGCTCTTTTTCTCTATCATTTGTAACTTAATTTGTGTGGAATAAAGTAGGTTGCCAAGTTCGAGCACCACCCCACCTTGCCCCTAGACGGAGCAACCTTCTCTCTCTTTTTCTCCCTCTCTTTCTTCTCCTCCCGGGATACTTCTCCTTTCCTTAGGTATGGTCCAAATGATAGATTTGGACAACAACATATAATATCTCAATGCATCTATGCATGTAGTAGGAATTTTTGGGGAAAAAATGAGGGCAAATTATCTACACACCAACCAATTCTTTCGTATTTACATATCCAATATCAATTTTTTTTTTTTTAAATCTGAGAGGCATTTACAAACATACCACCCAACAGTTTATGTATTTACATATCTAAAATCTTAATTTTATTATTTATATTTATATAAATCAATTTTTTGAGATCATATATATAATTAATTTAATTTCATATATTATTTTTTTATTTGATTCGAGCAAAAATAAATCTATCAAATAAAAATTGGATGCTTTAATAACTTTTTAACATAAAATTAGCGCATAAATAATACAAATATACCCTAATTATTTATTAATTGTTATTTTTACTATTTATATAATGATGGTTCAAGCGTCTCAAGCTTGGCTCTGCTGTAGCAAGTTAGGGTTTCATCTCTGACAGCAGATCGGCCTTTAGACGAGAGAAGCGACGCTAAGAGGATGGTGGAGAAGAATAGCAAAGGTCGAAAAGAGGAGGTGGTAACAAGGGAGTACACCATAAATCTCCACAAACGCCTACATGGATGGTATCTTCATTTTCAGTAAAAGATAATCTATTTTTCTGCTCTCATTTTTATGGCCCATTTTTTTGGTGGAAAGATGAAAATCCCATCACGCTCGGTCGGCTAAATTATATTCGAATGCTTTCAATATTGATTTTTTCGATTCTGTTGGTCAAAATGCTCTTGCGCTACATTCGATTGTGGAGTAGGATTTAGCAAGTAGTGATTTATTAAATATTGAGATAATTAAAACCTGCAAACTATCTGACAAGTTAACTGTCTAAATCCTCATAATTTGTTTGCTATTTTTTGGGACATGAATTTATTAAATTTTGTGAATGGAATTTAACAAATCCCCTATTTAAGCAATATCAATGTTAAAATGGAATTTCATCTTCTATCGCTGTTTGTTACAATATATTTCAAATACATGAAAGAGCAGCTGAATGGCAAGCAGTGGCGGATGTGGCTGAGTGGCGGCCAGTGATGCTAGGTGATGGTGGACGCTTTTGACAGGTTTAAGGGGAGGCGTCGGCCGCCGACTAATATGGGTGGACAATGCTTGTGGTGATCAACAACTGGCAACTCTTGGTGACGAATTACAACCGGTGGTGGAAGGAGACATCAGAGCGTGATGGGCTGTAAATTGGCAGCAAATGACGGGGACAAGAAAAAATGATGATGGTAAGCGGGGACTGGTGGTGGCTGTAGGTGGGGAAAATGTGGTCTTAGGTTGACTTTGATGTGACGACCATTGATGTTGGGTTATGATGGGCGGCTTCGATGGTTGTCAAGGGAGGTGAAGGTTGATGATGGATATGGGCGGGCAATGGTACTGGCAGCAATGACTGACGAACATCAGTGTTGGTTGAAAAACAATGATTGTACGAGACAGCTGCGGGGGATGGGTGGGTGATTGGTGGTGGTGGTGGTGGTGGTGATGATGAGAAGCAATAATGATGATGGGGAGTGGCGATTGGTAATGGGTGGCGGGTGGCAATTGGTGGTCATAAGCAGGGAAAGTGAGGCCTTAGATTGTGAATTTTTCTTGAATTTGGAATTCACTTGATTTTATTGAATTCTAAATTCATAAAAATGGGGACATCTTGATGTAGCACAAATTGCCTATTCAAATGCTTTGTTGGATTACCTCAATCTTTATACATAAACTCATGAATTTCTTTTATTTACGCTCATACTTGCAACCAAGCATCGCTTTAGTCTACGGTTTTTTTCTATTCTCACGATAAATAGATATCCCTTCTTAGTATTCTATTAAACAGTAGGTGTGATGATACTTTTTCTCTAGAATTATTTAGACAACACTTAACTCTACATAAACATTAACTCAAGCAACATAACAACAATGACAAGGCAACAATTAACAACAATGCGGACAACAATGATAATAGATAACAACACATGCCAACAATAGTGGCAAGGCAATCAATGAGGCAATGTTTGTGTATATAAAAGGCAGTAATGACAACCAATAGCACTAGGCTCATAAAACGGGGATATTGGATCTTAAAAAACTATTAGAAGATATATAGTCGAGACTTTATGAGCAATGAAATACCCGAAGGAGACGGGACAGTATTTGTTTGGGTAGAATTCACATTACATTTTATTTTGTAGAATTGCAAGCCTTTAAATAAACATATAATATCGAGATTGATCTAAACCATATTTAAATCAACTCCACAAAAAAAAATTTTATCTATAAATAACAAATTAATAAACTCAACAATAATTTTTTGTAAGAATAATCTTAATAGTTTTATATTCAAATTCAAACTCATGCAAAAAAATTTTAAAAATTGAACTTTATCCTTATCCTCCTATAGTCTGAAACATGATCTAATGATTCAATTTTTTTGAAGCATGTCCTCTCTTATATGATATTTAATTAACAGTATGATTGTGCTAATGAAACCTGGTTCTATCCTCTTCGATTTTAATGATGTGACATGCATATCATTACCATTGGCAATTTTCGTTATGAAATCAGACATCTAAAACTTTATTTGATATGATTCCTTTGATCTTTTAGTGGTCTAGTGCTAAAATTGTAAGGATATCTATATCTTATTGCCTTTTTTGAGCTGGACAGTTTGATTGACCATCCCTTTATGATTTGATTCTCTGACTATATTTCCATATTGCGCTTGTGTGTCACTTCTAAATTCTCAATTTTTTGTTTCTTCTTGTTTTAAAAAGTATTTGAATCTTGCATAGAGTGTTATTCATTTTTTTTTGATTGAAGATGACTTGCTTTGAGAACTTGGGCTTATATTTTTTTTTCTGCTTTGAAATTAATATATACCACATCTAGCATTCATTCTTTATATGAGAAATATTGAAAGATGTTTTGTCACTCAAATATCATCTTTTTTCCTTGTACATTACAATTTGTTTGGACTACTTGCGGTTTGTTTTGTGGTTATTCTGCAAGTTTGTGTTATCAAAAGTGTAATATGCTCTCAAGTTGATATAGGCTTCCCAATTTTTGAGATGGTAGGCATTATTATAGTAACTTGCTTTAGGAAAATGAGTCAATAAAGTGGAATAGCTATAGACTTATAAATTTGTTTTAATTTTATGAAAACTTTTGAATAATTAAAATTTTTCAATTTTTATAGGACATGTTGAACAAAGGAATGAATCTTCAATTTCTATTATTTGCCGAGTTTGAAAATATTGCTCCAATGGTTTATCTTAAACAAGTATAGAAAATTACTTAAGATAGTTAATTGTATATAATAATCTAATGTTGGCTACTATCAATTACTTAATATTCTATTTTCTATTACTTAATTTATGTCCTTTATTTTGTTACTTTGTCTCATTCATCATGTCCATCCACAAAGTTTACTAATTTAGAAATTGAAGCTCTACTACATGTTTGAACTAACTTATTTACACGAGTACATCTTTTCTTATTTTACTCTTTATGTTCTTCCTTTTTTATCTTATCATCCTCTAAAACTAACTCATCTTCAATATTATAAGTATTAATGCGTATTTCTTAAATCAAGGCAAGGTGCTCTCTTTACTATTAATAAATAAGAAAAACCTAATTCAAACATCAATAGTGAAAAATGATATAAAATATAAAATAATATTAATGCACAAAGCATATAATAATTATATACAAGTTCATCGAGTTGATGGCTGCATGCTGCTGTGGAGACATATTACATTATGATTTTGTTGAGAATTACAACCCTTATCTTTTCTAATTACCATTGACAAATTTGCATTACATGTTTTCTGCTTAGGGTAAAAATTAGCTCCCAATTTAGCACTTAGTTTCGCAAAGAGTGTTCTCCTACACACATATAATAGTAATACCACCCACCTAGGGGCTTTATATATTATTGAAGTCTTCACATCCTCGACTAAGCACCAGTCAAGCATTTGGCTTATATTTAAGGTAATTGACTTCAATTACTTTTTTTCAGGCAGAACTATTCAATTACTAACAATACTCACACTATAGCTAATAGTGCTTAAAAATATTGAATTTAAAGGATTACCAACTTATTAATGTTAAATATATGTTATATGTGTTGTTCTTATTATTATGACATGATGCTTTTGATATTGTACTTGTACAAATGCATGAAACTTATGTGATGATAATCCTTTTTTTTTTTGCTATAGTTTAATTTTATTGTTGCATGTTTTACAAGAGAAATGATCTATCATTGAGTTTCTATTGGTTTATTGTTGCAATTGATTAATCTTGTAGTGTTTTGAAACTACCAATTAGGCACCATTGTTTTGCTTTATTGGCAAGCTTTTTGTAGCAATTTTAGCAACCCCGGACAGGTTGTAATGTACAACGATTTTAACTACTACAAACTGCAAAAATTTGCTATGACATCAACTGCCATAAAGTTCACTAATTTATGGTGCTTTTAAACTAAAAAATCTCATAAATTTGTACTGATTTTATTCGTTGCAGCAATTATATCTTTGCTGCAGCTGTAGCCTTAAAAGAAATTTGCATTATGTGGCAGTTAATATTGTTGTTGAAAGGGGGAAAACGCTTTTGAAGTGGTTAAAACAACTATGAAATTGGTCAAAATTAGCAGCTAAGTTTCTGTATTAGTTGTTTTAACCATTGTGAAATGGAAGAAAGGCTATAGTGGTGATGATTAAACTATTTCATTTTAAGGGTTTAGTCTCGATACAATTAACCGTATAACAAAGGGAACAATATATCTTATTACTGACTAATGCTTTTGATTAGAACAAATGACAATAATATCGAAGTGTAAGATATAAGTCACATCGTACTTCTCTAATAGTGTAACATCACTACTAGGAATTCACTAATTGTGAAGATTCATATTAAAAAATAACAAAATTACATACATTTGTTATATAATTGTGATTGTAGGAGTATAAAAGAGGCTGCATAGTTTGGAGCCTGTAGGTGTGATTGTCTCTAATCACAAATAAGGCAATTTATTATAAGGATTAGCAGTGTGATGTAACCTATCACTCAGGCAAAAACTAAAAAAAAAAAATAACAAGAATGATGCCAAACTACTTCACACGGTATCTAGTCTATATTGTCCTTGGTGATTGCAAATTTCAATTATTATTGATGATCAATCCTCTTATTACACCTTTTTTTTATCCTATCCAGGGGATACTAGCTTGAATGAAGTATGGATTTGCAGTCCTAACTTTGGTAAAAATTAGTTTTTTTATTTGGACTGACTATGTAGATGGTGGTGCTAATCTCCTCATACTATCTGCCTATCGTTAGAGTGAACCATTCTTCTACGTGTGCATGTTGGGGGATGACTCCACTTATTCCCACTTGTCTACATGCTAAACATGGTGTTGTCCATGGCTATAACAGTTATCTTCCCTTATCCATTTTTTCTTATACTTTTTAGGGTGCACCTTCCGACATTTTTTTTGGTACGGTCATGCATGTAACAATGTTCATAGAATTTTTCTGCAGCATTCACTTAACAGTGGAAGCATGTTTTGAATCACGAACT